ATACCATACATTTAACATGAAAAGGACTGTCAGGTTTGTTGAATTGAAATTCTAATATTTAATATACATATATATATATATATATATTTCTTTACAAAGTATAAATATTTCAACTACTGGATATTTATCTTGTCTTAATAATATATTATTTTCAGAATACTTTTGTAACATTATTAATATAAAATTTACATATTTGTTGTTTTCAGGATGCTGCATACAAAGGTCTTAGCTAGAGCCTAGAATGAATATTTCTTGGGAAAATGCTGCAAGTAACTGATGGGGAGCGGTTTTTCTTACAAATCATAGGTGAGACGTTTAAATAGCTTCTTTTTAAAAGTTTTTTGTTGTTTTATGTACATAATTTTCTGTCAATATGAAACTTCAGCTATATCTTAATTTCTATGCTGTTTTATTATGTAAATCTTAGAGATAAGCATTTTAAGTTAAAACAAATCACTAAGTTGATTAATTATATATATAATTTGAGATTGACCAAGTCACTTTTAACTAAAACTTCTTATTTTATTTGCAGAAGCAGTAAGAGACCGCCAAAGAAGTATTCAAACACCATCATGAAACACTTAAGACATACCCAGAGAGATATAGAAGAAGTACTAGTAGTAGATTGGAACAGATTGTAGCTTAATTGTTAAACTAAAAGGACTTCTTAAATCGTTAGAATTTAAGCTGCATTTGAACTGTTTTTTTAAATAGAATATCTGAAGTATTTAATAGTGTCTTGATTTTTTTGTTAAACTCTGTTACTTTGCTTTATATTAAATTTAAAGTATGTTAAAATGACATTGAAACTTCAACGTTGTGCCAACGTTGAATTTCAACGTTGTTTAAACTTTCAAATCCGAACATAAATCCAACGTTATTTCAACGTTGAAATCTAACCATAATACGTTGTTCAACGTTGATGTGCCTGCTGGGATAATTCTATCCAGGACCTATTTGCTTTGGACACCCCCACACGTTGAAAAGTTATCCACATATTATTTAAAGTAAACGGGTGCTTGATAGTAATTTTGTTCTTGTTGATCAAGGGGAGATTATTTGTCATGCAAAGTTAATAGGTACATTTTTAGAGTGCTCAAAAATGTTTGGTAAGTCCGTTTATTTCTGAAGAAAAACAATTAGTAAATGATTGTACTTAACGGTTTGCAGCTGATTTTTAATAAAATATACTTACTATATGATTTTACCGACGTTCATGTATTGTAGCTCACGAATGAGTTTTATTTACTAACACCCCGTTCACACAGAGCTGCGACTTTAGGACGATCATGCCGATCAAACCACGATCTGAAAAAGTATTGGATCGGGGCCTATGGGCGTCGAAATCGAGCAATTTAGCAAATTTTGGTTTGTACTACGATGTTCCTAGACGCTTCTACTACGATGTTACGCTGACCGATGCCGACCAGCGACCGCTTTTACTGCGTTTATACTACGCTGCCGCTATGACATTCAAGCTCGCACTACGACGCTACGCAGACCTAGAAGACTATACGACGATATCGCTACGACGGTGCCGATCATATCACGCTTGTAGTACGCTTCTGGTACGATTTTGGCGATGATATATATATCTTGGGTTTCAAAAAATATTTTTCATTTACTTCCAAACTTCAAACATGAACGGACGTATTAATGCTGATCTGATTCATCTGGCTTTACTTCAGCAAAACACATATTGGTTGAAATTGAAATTGCACAGATTGTTAACAGGCGGAGCTGCAAATGATCGTCAAGTAAAGTGCCGCCCTATATATGTAGTTGGCAGATTATGATTGGTCAAATAGCAGCGCTATAAAAACAAACTGCTACCTTACAGGTCCTGGTATGATCGTCGTAAGGTCATGGTAGGTCTTCGTAGGATCGTCATGAACGTAGAGAGATCGTAGTGGGGACGTAGTAAGAACATAGTGGGAACGTTGTAGAAGCGTACTTGGTACAACGCTTTTACTGCGCTTTTACTACGATCATAAAGAACTATCCATGATGCTTCCGTGCTGCTTGTACGATTACGGCGCTTCTACCACGCTCTTTTTACGACTTTACCCCGATGCTTGTTGGCCACGATCCCGCTACGCTTGTTTTGAGCACGTTCAAAATAAACGTGGCGAGAGCGTAGAGCTTTCCGATCATGAAGACGCTACCGCGATCATACTGCGCTTATGTAGACTCCACTACGTTTCTCCTGCGATTTGCCACGATCGGCCACGTTTTGATCGTAGTAGAAGCGGCGTCTATGTGTGAACGGGGGTTAAGCAAGTGCACCGTATCCTATTTTCTTACGCTCTTATTCATTATCTCATATGCTATACATGTATCTGTTATGAAACAGCCCTACGAAATAAATGATAACATTTGCCTTTGAACAATATTCTAAATAATTAAACCATGTTAACATCTGTCATCCAAAAGAATGAGCACTTTAGTTTACATAAAATTTAATTCTTTGTTCCGTAGCGGGGTGGGGATTATAGGAATGAACTCCGTAATGTTTTCGTGTCCGCTCAATAACTTTTAAAGTAATTATAACTATAGGCACAAATGATCACCATTATGAGATGATGTACATAGCGCAAAACCAAGTCGCTATGTCACTCTTAAAGCTCTATGCCAGATAAGCCAAAATATTTCAATAAAATCAATATTATCAGGGGAAGGCACTCTTACTCGACTTTGTCCGTTTGAACCCTTACGCCATTTGCAATGTTATCAGGGAAGATCACTCTTATCGACTCTATTTCGATCGCAACAGTTACCTCACTTTGAACCCTCACTCCATTTGCATGCAATGGCATCAAGGGAGGTCACTCTAACCGTCTAGACTTTGAGCGCCACAGTCAATCTCCCACGCAGTGATCTCACCTTACATGATTAGATCTCTGCCATCACAACATTTTCGTCATATCATATTTTTTTTAATTTTGAAAAGAGAAATCATTCAAGTAATCAATAATTTCGATTCAACACAATTTTTTTCAATCATATCGGCAGACTTGACACAAGAGCTCAAGTTATAATGTTGCTGATAAAACAATTGTTCAACGATTTCTTTGGCGTTTCCGCCATCTTGACAAAATCATGTGATAAGACCATCATTTGATTTGCGTGAAGGTAGTGGTTACTGGCCGTAGCAGAAAGCTGTATTTTGAACCCTTACGCCATTTGCAGTGTTAACAGGATATACCCGCTAATCAAATTTATTTTGAGCGCAACAGTAACCTCCCTTTGAACACTTTCCTATTTAAAATATGTTTCTATATAATTTGCCTATTATACCGCGGCTCGACACGGCGAGCCGGTATTACGTTAGGATACAATAGAAAACAACCTAAAACTCCAAATCCATCTAAATTTTAACCGAAGCTTGGCTTCCAGCTTATTCACTTGTCGAAGCTAGACGGCAAAAATCATTTGGGCAATCAAATTTAATATTACATAGCGGCTTAAAACCTTTAGGAGGAACCTGAAGAAGTCAATGGATTGTTATATTTTTATACACAGATGCTATAACGGAAAGCACAGATCAAGTTTGAACTTGGCTTCAAACCACTAACTTTCATAGTTCTGTCCCATTTTCATCTTCAATTTTGCACCAAATATATAAGGTTTTTAGAGAGTCACTTCATTGAAATTACTTTTTATAGTTTGTTGAAACATCGTAAAATACAGGTCAAGATCAAATATGGATTAACGCCACTATATTTTTACATAGTTAAGGCCAATTTTCAACTTCAGTTTAGTAAAAAAATATGTTGCTTCCACTTGATTACTCATCATATAGTCAATGAATTGTATTTATTTTTGGTACGTTTGTTTAAATTAGGAATAATTTAAATGAGGGTTCAGACCACTATAGTTTTACCAATTTCAAACTTGTTTTGATTATTAAGATCTTTCTTGATACAAGTATCTGTACAATGATGTTTTTTTTTTCTTTAAACAACATTTCCTTTAACCAAACTTTACAGGAATTATCCAGAATCTTATATGAAATAAAGAAGGACTTACAACAGTTTTGCGATCAACCCTCGATATACATATGGACTGAAGTCTTTCTATTTGGATACATCTTGGTATATCTAGTCCTCAGGTGAACGCTTTGGGGCAAATTGCCCCCTTGTTAGGAATCGAATATTCCTCTTAGTTAATTCCATCATTATACAGGTTGTTGCTGTCAATTTGACATTAAAACACACTGCAGGAATTAGAAATGACAAAGCGAGTCGCGACTAGCTTTTTTAAAAGCTAACATTGCAATATCATAAATGAAAAAAACACTATTTTGAATTTTCGAAACGTAAAGTCATTGAGTATATTTATTTAATAATTTATCAAAAACTATTGACACAGATGATATGACACAATATCGATAAAGACATGCTGTGGTGCTTTGCAACATTATGGCATCATGCCATATATTAACTGGTGCTGAGTCATAAACCCTTGGTTCATATTGGCACCACAGGAGAAGTCACTTAGATTTTTGTTACTTTTATTTCGTAAAATCTCGAAATATCTTTATATAAGTACATGTATAAGACCTTGTGTACATATATTTGATGGGTTATATGATTAAGTGACATATAACAAAAATATTAAAATTACGACACTTTGTTCTTTCTGAAGTGTGTTAAAATAATAAATTATCTAAAATCAACAAATAGTACACAAAAAAAGTAAAACAAATATGTTATGAATAACAATATGTGCTGACTCACATATAGACGACACGTTATTAAACAATGCATCATAATTCAATTCAATAATAAAGAGAAAAGCAAAAGTAGTTGATGATTTTCGAATTTTTGATAAGATGTTATAACTGTTATAACTCTGCCACCTGGATATATCCATGAAGTGTTTTCAATAAGTTTTTAAGTACCAACCACACGTTGTTATAAGAAACTTGAAAATAACAATATAATATATCACCACGAAGGTATATTTCTGTTAAGAGGCATGTTTTTGTAAATACTTTTATATTTCAAATAAATACACTTTCACAGTTGTTATAGGGCTCAGTTAGCCAACAGCAAACAAAAATCCACCATTTTTAGTGTCTTGGTTCAAATTCACACGGTAAGTTACATAGTTATTTATATATTATGCTTTTTTCACATTATACGAAAAGGAAATTAGTAACAAAATATTACTGAATCTGTTTTATATTTTTTTGTAAGATGTTCAACAATATTTTCAAATGACAGCAGCGTTCCGAATTTCAGATTTTGACAGACGCATAAACACTAAGTTTATACATGCAAAGAACACCTTGTCCGAAATAACAAAAAAATCTTCTTTTACGAGATATATATTTACTTTATTTATATATTTGTTTATTCAGGTTTATCATGGCTGAGTCTTGGTTCCTTACAAAAATCAATGTAAGAACATCTCAAGATAAACATGACTGCCTTCTTACCGGCATTGCTGTTTCTTTTGGCAACAACATATTTGTTGTCGATTACAATAATGATTCAATTAAATTGATAAACTCCAATAGCGGAGAACTTCGGCAAACAAAGCTTGAATCAGGACCTAGAGATATTGCTGTTATAAGTAAAGATGAACTTGCTGTTACATTACCAGACATGAAAACAATACAGTTCATATCCGTTTCTCCGTATGGTCGGAATGCATTTTCATTGAAAAACAAACTGGACGTTGATGGATTTTGTCTCGGTATAGGTCATTATCAAGGAAAACTTGCGGTGACGTTTACATCACCTGGCAAACTTCTCATCACAAACTTACAAGGTTCGGTACAGGTGAATGTTGTAAAGTACCCCAATGGTGAGGACATTTTTAGTTACCCTGGCCATGTTACTACAAACAGCAATTCAATTTATGTATCTGACAACACCAAGGATGAAGTTACATGGTTTGACTGGTCCGGAACGCATATAGGAAGGCATTGTAGGATTGAACACCCAAGGGGAATCACTTTGTTAGATGATGGATCTATTTTCGTGAGTGATTACGAAAGTCGTTGTATATTAAAAGTAAGGTCTGACTTAAATGAAAGTGAAACTGCGCTTACAGATGTAGACAGTCCTTGGGCCTTATGTTGGAGTCGTGAAACCACTACACTTTGTGTTAGTAGATTCAATCGTGACAGATCAAATGAAAACAATGATATTCTATTGTACAAATTGATGTAGCCATCAAATATGACAATGGATGCAGTCATGACAAACATAATTATAAATTGTCATTGCGTCATTTATGTGCTAAAGTTTTTGCTAGTGTGATACCAGATTAATTTCGTCATTGTTCAGTTTTTGTACGTCAGTAGAATTATACAAAGTTGTATATTTTTGTAATGTTAAAAGAATTAACAATAACCATAAAAGATTGTAGTAGATGGCGTCTGAAAATGAACTTTGGACAAAATCATTCTTTTAAGTGGAGATCAAACATCGCTTTTTATGGAATGGCATGCATGTGCCAGATTAACCTCCGTCTGAACACATCTGCATTTGTTTCTAAATTCCAAGTTTCACCATTACCTTGTTTAAAATTACTGCTTTCGCCTCTGCAATGGATATAGGCGGTAGCTTGCATACATCACAAACCGAGCCTGCAACATTTTCAATTTTCTGTATTTAGCGTTCCTTTGGGATTCCGTTGTTTTTATATATTCATGCATATTTTTTATACGTTTTTGACAATAAACAGATAGTTGTGTTTTATGCAACATTTTTGTTGCGCCCATGTGTTGATTTCTATTTTTTATTTCATTAAATAATTATGTTCTTCATAAAGGGAATAAGATATCGTTTTAATGTGAGGATCATTGTAAATCAAGAGAAGAGTCGTCAAATACGGCCAAACGGTAGCATACAGAAGGTTAATGCCAGCTAATGTTTACGCCACTTGAACTGCATTGTCCAGAATAAATGGAAATAAGGGATTTATTTCGTATAGCATCTATATCATCTATTTTGCAAGGCATAGTCTACATGTATACTGATGTATGTTTTGTTTATATTTTCTTTTTAGTTTTGTATTCATATACATTTAGAATCATGTTTCTAATCATTGAATGTGCTGTGATACATAGATACATACATAGATATTTCTATTTTTATCTGCTTACTTGAATTCTAATTGATGTCAAACTATTACTACGAACGAGAATTGTGACTGTTTGCAAAAATTTATAGAAAAATATATTAAAAACTTAATATCCTATTGCTATATCATGTTGTATCTTGTTGACGGTACTAGTTTTTAATGAGCATATAACTAATTACAGAGGGATTAATGTCTGGAAAAAGTGAACCCTCTGAAGCAAAAAATAAATAAATTAAAAACAACAAAAATACATGGAAATTGCAGACTCGCTGTGATTGAGTCTGTACATGAGAGATAATGAACAAGTGCAACATATCTCATTTCATGTTTCCGTATCAAAACATTTGACAATGCGCTTTTTACATTTGAGGCATATATTTCGCTGAATTTGAGAAAGTATACTGTTGTTTTGGACTTGAATGATTTTAGAGAAATACCAATTGACCAATCGGACATTATGTATGAATCTCGATACTGCTATCATAAACAGCAAGATGGGAAGTACTAGTAAGTTAGATAAATGCAGCTGCTGATCCTCTAAACGTTAAGGTCTGAGGTCTTCCTCCACCAGTAAACGTGGAACGTCGCCATAAGACCTATAATTTGTCGGTGCGACGTAAAACCCAATTTGCTGTATTGGTCGGCAGTTTGGGTTGATGATAGTTTTTATTATATGTCGAATATCTCAACAACTTGGCAAATAAAACATTAAATATTTAAAATATTTAAATATTATTGAATGATTCTCTAGTTTGTCGTCAATATCTTTTTACTGGCAATAAAACATCTCATAGCAGACGACATGAAATTACTTGTGACAGTCGAAGTTTGAACAAAGGCTTTTTTACAAAGCGTTGATTTTATTTCATTCATTTGTTGTTTCAGTAAACAGTGCTATTGACACAGGCAGAAATAAGGCTCAACAAGACATTGAAATGTGTTTCTTAAAATGCTATATTTTTCCAAAGTATTTAATGACGTTAGGCCTCAAAAGAAACACATGTTACAATATTGATATGATTGCGTGTATTGTTATATCAAAATAATAAACGATGCAATAAAAGAAACGCCAAAAAAACAAACAAAACAACATGGCATCAATATTAGTAAGTTTTCCATTCAGTGCTACATCATATGGTTTTAATGAATTTCAAGAGATTTTAGCAATCTTATATAAAAAATAATGTTTTTATTAAACACCTGATGTTGGAACAATGTATGTTGTAGTTTTCCAGCACACCTCAGAACTGAAAAATGCTTTTTAAAATTGCAAAAAAAAGAAGAAATTATTAAATAGTGCTGTCACTTTATTGCAAAATCCAGACTTAATGGCCTCTTATTCTATTGCCAGCACTAAAACAAATGTAGTTATTATTTCATGGCAAAGACCTAGACTAAATGGTGTCATATTGTAAAGAAGACATTCTACAGACAGAAGCTAGTTAAAGATTGTTTGATATTCCGAAGGGCAATTAATCAGACGCCGAATTCTGTGAAGTGATTTATGTTATGCGGCAAAGCAATCGTTATATTTTAACGAGAACAATTCTACAAGACCAGACGTTTCTCCCCTCTGTGTTGTAGTATTTGTATTGTGGAAGTATTTGGTGTGTTTACTGGGAAATTATATATGTTTAGGATTATTCATTATAATTCATAGTAGTGCACATATGAGGGTTGCATTGCATATCATATATTTGAATCCTATGTTTTAATGCTTTGACTTTTTTGCATTGCATCACATCGATTGCAAATCCTCAAAACTGTTAGCTAATGTGGAACTGTATTTGATAATGAGGCGTGTGTTAGGAGTTTCTGGGGAGGCTATGATATTGAAAGAATGTAACTGACAGAAAATGAGTGGTGCACAGAATGATTCTTAAATCATTAATTAGTGAACAAACGCACAAAAACCATCTGTAAAAGGGATATAGACATTCATCTTTTGTTGTTCATGATTTACACAATAAAACGTGTACATGTTTGCTGAAATAATTGAACTTTGTCATATAAACTGAACTTGACCATAATACAAAAGCATTTACGATTTGTTTTCTTAGGCAAAATTGTTTCTTCAATACAACTTTCTCTGTGTTTATTTGTCTCAACTAGATTCATAAGGCTGTCTTATACAATTTTATGATAAGTTAGCGTCTGGGATTTTCCATTTCAATAATGTTTATTCAATTACTCGTGATGCGCGACATTAATATCATTAATTGATGAAATTGATTAAATTTGAAAGAAAAACATTACCGAGATAATTAGATACAAACATTGGATTAGAGACTACAGCAACGAACCAAGACTAATCGATTTTATAACACATTGGGGCAGAGTGGACCATGACTTTTTTCTGTTGCTATAGGAACGATTATTGGGAGTAATAATATTCTCAATTTTTTCTTGTGAATGAAATACATATTGCCAAGAACGTCTGAATTTATGAGGGCGTCTGACAAGGCTCTAAATGAAGGATAATTACAGCCATATTAAGGAATTTCTGGCAGTGGAAAACAGTATAAGATATAAATGTTTGTTGTGGCGCAATGTCTAAGGAAGTGAATGCTTTACTTAATGTGGTTATGAAAAAATATTACTTTCTACTTCTGTGATATGGGAAAGGAAAATGTATTCTGATGAAAATTGCGTTAATCTGTTTAGTATGATGACCGATGGCAAAGTGGATTTTGTAATTGTGTTATGTATATAAGGAAGGAGCAGATTGAATTTCTATAGCTAGGACAGATTTATAGGTTGTCTGATGTATACTATGTAAATGTCTGACCAGTAGTGTATATTGGAGTTGAAATAATATAAGTATATATGCTCGTGTTTTGTGCTTAAATATAAATTGTAATGCAATGTCTGTTTATGGATATATGACAAATTAGTGTTCTATATCAAGATTGTCTTCATGAGGAATATTACTATTTTTTTTATATAGTGTTTTTTTTAAATTATTATAGACTGAATTAAGAATGGCATTTGTTTAGGTATAATCTATACGTAAGTATTGCATACCCATGGCAACGCATTGGCGATCCAGGCCACCCGACGACGATGAAGCTGAAGTTCCTATGAGACCATACCAAGAACTGGAAATAGATGTAGGTAAAACATAATTTTAACAAACATTTTATCAACTGTATTTCAATATACTTCCCTTTACACAATTCAATATCGAAACTCTTAAACGTACGTAAGCATATCCTCACAAATAAACACACCACAAAAGAAACGGAAGATTAATGATTAAAGTGTCTGCCGCTCAACCCAGAGGTAATGGGTTTTAGCCCTACTCGGATCACAATGTTTCCTGTAGTGGTTAGTTCAAGGAAGCAGACTCGAAAGTGATTGATATAATTTGCAAGAACTTGTTTTATATCTTTTTTATTCTAGCTTAAAAAGAATATATAAAATAAATTAATGAAATCATCGAATGTTGTTACCAATTATTGTCAACCTCAATACTAATGTGTAAGGACTGTCAAGATAAGATTATCTATAAATCTAAACATATATTGTACATATACATATACAAATGATTTTTGTGTGTGTTCACATATTATTGGTATCATAATGTAAGTTAATATAATGCAAGTTTGAGAAAAGCGACTACATGTATATTGACAAATCTTTGTCGAGGACATGGCTTTTGTGGACAATGAAATTGAATATTGTAATGCAAAAATCAAGATTTTCTAAGATAGAAAATCGAATTCACTTAGCGTGTGTTTTGATTGAATTCAGAAATGGTGTATTTATTTTCCATTGAATTATCTGTCTTAAATTTCACTTGATCGGCACCGGATTTACAATCCCGGAATGTGAAATCTTAAACAATGAATAAATTTTGTTTCATCGTTTTAAATAATTGTATTTCTAGGAAACCCTGGTTTCATCGTTATCTTTGGAAGAATCTTAATGAAACTGTCAGTGGGCGAGACAGTATAGTAAAATTTGATTTCATTTTTTGTTGGTGCATTATTGAATTTTGCACACATCAATGATATGATGTATTTTCCTCTGCAGACATGAAAACATAAAACAAATAGTGAGATAGTGTACATATGCTTTGGATGTGGTGATTTGATTTGGTGTGTGTGAAAGTCATTTGCGCTATTTCAACGTTAAAAATGACTTTCACGCTTAAAAATAACAGTTTGAAAAAAAAATGAAACAAGTTCTTTAGATAATGATATATGAATATAATATTTTATGAATATATTTTGCAATTGTGTATGTTAAAAATGTTTTATAATCAATTAAACAAGCAAGTTTTGAAAAAGAAAACAGGAAAATGGAGACAATGGTTAAGTAAGGCAAGTTTGGTTTACTTTGAATTTGTTACATCAAATGCAGTGGCAGTGTAAAATCCATGCCGTAACAAACCCCCGTCCCCAGCACCGCCTTCCGCATACATTTGTAATTTGAAAATGATTACAAGTAATATATTTAACGTATTTTGACCAGAACGCTATAATGATTTTTCAGTTTCTTTATTTCTACTGTCTTATCTTACATATTTACTCAAACAGACAAATCACGTTGTGGATTGTAGTGGATTAAGGCAGATTTTCCTGAAACATGATTCAAGAAGAAAATCGATGGTGGAAGCTGTCCGAGGCAATTACCACAAATACAGTTGACCTAGTTTCTTAACATTTAGGGCAATAAATTGTCTTAAACTACATCATGTTCTTATGTTAATTCATGTTATACTTCCGTTACATTCCATTGAATTTAAAGCAAAGAATTAAGTTATTTTTATTAATGTATTGAAAAGTATGATACCTTAAAACTTAAATAGACGTGGACAATTTTAAAAGATTGTATGTTTTCTATGGAAACCCTGATATTTCCGGGCGATATATGTATGATGTTTCTGCCTGATTTCTACGATACAATTTAGATCTACGATGATATATAAACTCGTTTTATTCACATCAAGTATTGACTTGTTTCTTGGCTTGACAGTTTGCCAACTCTAACAGTTTTAAATACATATATTCACTTCTCAGTTTTCCATATCTAATGTGATTGCTTGGTTTTTACGACCTTGTCTGTATACAGAGACATGGGTTGAAATAACAGACAGTTTTTTAATCCGTACATGCTAGTCCCATGGTATTAGAATTCCATCAATTCTTCTCCTCGTCTTGAAATATGAGATTAAGATCATCAAGGCAGAGCAACGTTCAAATAACGCAAATACAGCGGATTTCACCGAAAGGCACCGAAGTGAAGCTTAATTTTTAAATATGATTTACCGTAGAAAACGACTAAAAAGTATAAATGTATCATCAAAGCTTAAATGTAGTTAATATGCAGTCTCTTTAAGTTTAGTGTGTCACTTTATTGTAAAATTTCTGATGTATATTCAGTGGAGTATTTCCATGAGTACTTTTATTACTCTCCTGTATTTGCGCGACTGTGATGATAAAATCTCATCTTCCAGTTTAACCTGCCCCCATGATGAAATAAACCCCTCTTTTTATGGATATTTTGTTTAAATGACAATTTATAATAAAGCAAAGAACAAAAATTCTTTGAAAAAGTTGATCCATCAACTGAAATAAATAGGATATTCTTGATATGTGAGGCAAATGAAAGTGCATCAATTCTTTCGACAAATTGTCTTTATGAATTTTAAAGTATTTATAATGATTATGATTATCACTATGGTTTCTTTTTTTCAGAAATGGAGGATTATTTTTGATAAGGTTTGTATTTTTTGATATTGTATCATACATTTGTGTGTGGTAATTGGCTATATAGAGTAATCTACATTAATCAAATTTTTATTTCGTTCTGGCCTTTTTGTTTTAGTTATGTTGATTATCTGTATCAATTCATTATTCAATAAATTTGAAACGTTATCTTTTGTAAAGATACTAGCATTCTCTCTTTAAAAAAGCTGGTGTCTGTAAATGAAAATAATAGATTTAACTTAGCATAGAAAGTAATGATCCTTATAAAAATAGTAATAAAGATTTATATAGTTATTACAGAAACGATTATTTAATGTATGTTTTGTTAATGTACTTATTTAGTCGGAAAATATCTATTCTAAAATCTTGCATTCGCAAGGGATTTACATAACAATATAAAATAGTTCATCTCCTTGGTGGATAAAGTCTAAATGTTATAAATGAAATAAACTTAATAAAGCTATATTTCTAAAGGGAATCGAGTATTTCATGAATATGAAAATTTTAAAGAATAGATGACAAAATTCTGTTAGTTAGTAATTAGAAAAATTAAATTTGATAATGATATATATTAATTCACTGTAAATATTAATATATCAACATAATACTAATGTTTTGAAAAGTATCAATAGTATCTTGGCCTTTGAATAATTTTATGAGCGCTAGAAAAATGACTGAAATGTGAAGAAATGATGGTCCCTTGTATTAAGAGGTTAATAGAGGTTAAACGAGGTTACTGTGGTTCTTTCAGTATGACGAGATTAAATGCGGCGAGATCACCGTCTGGGCACTGAAACAACTTCTACAGGATCCAGAGTTCCGTGAGATGGCAGACCAACATATTCTGCACGTGTTACAGATGAAATGCACGTGTAATAAATATACCTATGTTACATATCAGGAATTTGTAAATATAGTAAGTATATATTAAAACTATATTTTTGTTCGTCTGTATCATTTCAAAGATTAATACATGCAACAATTGTTTAAGTTGTTTTGTAAGGTATACGAACATTCATTCAATAAGTCATAAAACATTACTGTAAATATTTGTGAAGTGATGAGAAGTTTCCTTTGCAGTGGTTTTCAAAACGATTGATGATGACGATATCTTATATTTCACACCATATATATGATCAAACATGTTTTGTATTACATTTCAACTTGATGACTGACTCAGAGAAGTTTTCCCGTGTACTTGATTAAGGCGGCAACGTCAATTAGCAAAAAAAAAATTCCAAGTGATATAAAAGTGTTGTTGTCTTTAGGCAAATATATTCCTGGAAAAAATAGAGGATATGTAAGACCTAAGTATGTGAAATAGCTTTGATTGTGACAACGACGAGATGCAAAGCTGTCATTCCACTCGCTGCTCATAAATATCATTCTAATGTGTACACGTTTTTGTAGAACATATATTAATTTAACCGTCTCCGTTTTATATTATTTCGCTATAAAAGTAAATTCCTACCAAAAGCACATTTTAATGACTTTCTCTGTTACGAAAGGTTGTCTGCTTTGTACTTGCTTTGACCTTTTTGCTCTTGTGCCATCTCCTGCTTTTTCGACGCCCTGCTGATGTCTGTGCCTCTGGTTCTGTGTTTCTGGATTTTATGGGGTGTTATGGTGGTTACTTTCATTGATTGCCATCCGCCTTTGTTGGTTTTCTCATATTTATTTTTGTGAACTTCTTTAATTAGATAAACATTTTTTCATTCAGACCAATTTATAGATAATATAAGCACTCCAGGTCTGATTTAGAATCAAATGTAAATATATAATTAAAAATGGCAATAAATGTTATATAACATGAGAAATACATTCATAAGTCTTTCATTTGGTATAGCTATTTGATTTCTTGAAGTTATTATTCTAATTTTATTCAGGCACGGCAAAAAACACTTTGTTAGTTGTAAGTCCTCAAAGGAAAGTTCTACACTTAAAATGGTCTCTAGAGGTTTAAATAACAAAGAAATGCTAGCATATTACAATTATATCATTTGCGTTTAAATTTTTGATATGAAAATTACTTTTTTGAAAATTACTTTTTGTAATTGAGGTATTTTTTCATATAATTATAAACCTCAGGCTGAAAAGTTATTTTATAACAGTCCTATTGATTCAAGTGGTAAAAAGCCAGCAGTTTTTGAGGTTTTCACTTCACTTTGTTATGACTGTAATAAAGATTCATGGCACATTATATAAACGCTATATCCAGACATATTTGTCAATTGATTTACCATACAAGTTTTGTTAAGATTCGTGATAGTTTATTTCAAGTCATGCATAATTCCTTTTAATATGTTTATTAGGTACTTTGTTTTGTTTGGATCAAAGTAACTTTTTTGTGCGCCAGTATCTCTGACAATAACAAACACTATGCTTTTTCGATAAGAAAGAAATGTATATTTTTACGAAGCTTTTCGACAGAATCCTGACAGTACTTCGGCAACGACTCCTTCGTATTTTGTTGTCAATATCGTTTAACTCGGCGAATCACAGATAATACAAAATACAATGATGTTGTTGGTATTAAAAGCTAATGTCCTTTCTCAAGTAAAACATTAAATCCTATAATTATCTAATTAGAACGACATTAACGGTTTTGTTAGGGAGAAATGTCATTTTTAAATGAAAACCTTGAAAGGCAGGCTTTAAATTCGTCATGTGTTTCTGCAGATGTTAATGCACATTAACCCTTGAGTATATTTACAAAAATTAAATATATGTAAACAGAGACATTTAGTAGAAGCTTGTCAGCACTTCAAAGGTTTTACGACATTAAGCACTGTTGATATCATTTACTGAGCATTGTTTTTCGTATTCGGTTGTCGATATCGTTTATCAGGACATATTGTTTATCACGACACATTAGAGGTAATACAAAAAGACAATGGTTGTGTTGATATTAAAAGCTTTCAAGTTATATCTGATGTCTTCTCCGTACTTAAACATTAACAAACCAATAATTATCTTCTTAGAACGACATTATTTGGCAAATGTCATGTGAAAACAATGAAAGAATGTACTTTCATTTCTTAAGATTTAATAGCTGTCTGCACAAATCGCTTATCTAATGATAACCAAATTTAAAAATTGCTCATAGTGGCATTAATACTAGTAATTTGGAATGATTGAATTGGGTAGTTTTAGTAATTTAATCATAAAAAATTTTCGTGTAAGGACTTTCTAGTTTTTAATAATCAAGAACGATCCAAATTACCGCCTTGGCCATTTTTTAGGTCTCGTGCATTGTAAAATCAGACCGACTAGTTGGCGAGTAATTTTAATTTTTGACTTCAGTCAACCATTATCAAACACAATCAATCAATCAATCAATCAATCAATCAACCAATCAATTAAATTATCAATTCATCATTACTTCATTTTGATTCAACACAAACAACACAATAAAGATTTACTCGCATTTATAAGCAATAGCATTTGAATACTAATCAACTGTATTATTGAAATCATGGTTACCGATAGTTTAATTATTCAGTACAGTTTTGTTGTGATTCAGCAATTACTCGTTCAATGTGATTTTATTGATTATGCATCAGAGTGCCATGTGTCGGGATCATTTTGTTACAGTCCATTTTAAGGAAACACCCCAAGCAGAATCACTGCACGGCTGTACGCATTGTCTTCAACATTGGTCGATACTTCAACTTCTTGTTTGTTCATTACAATTTGAGAATAATTAATAAATGTTCTCGGTTTAATTTAACATTATACTCCAGTGTGTAGGATTGTAAACTGCTTATTTCACGGCTATAAAGGATGTGAGAGATGTTGTGCTTAAAATTACTAAGACTTGGTGCGAGAGATTGCTTCTCATATGGCATAAAGAAATAGTTACAACCGGCTGCATCAAATCCTAGATTATCTCTTATGAACTGACCCAATTAAACGGAGTTTGTGGTTTTCAAGAAATTCATATAAAGTATTTCTGTAAATCATTTATTCTGATAACTGTTTTATGTCACAGTCCATCCATAGATGTAATTGATTTGTTTATTTTACTCTTTCAGTGGTGCAATATTTTTTATCTTTTCTTTCAAGAGAATGCAAAACACTTCAGTTATGAAATTAAGTCGTTCTTATAGACATAAAAAAACTCTAAAATATCACTCTAAGTTCATTTCGAGAAAAATACAAGAATAACCATGCTCATTTCTTTTTCTTTTTTCTTTTTACCGTCTCTCTTCTGAAATGAACGTCTTTGAATGCACTGGATAAAACATCGTAAAAAATCTCTTCGTAACTATTTTCCTGTCAGCAGTTCCAAAATTTTGGCATCCATATCGGAAAACCATGGATAATGCAAATTGACCTAAACGAGTAAATGAGCATCCGCGCAGTCTGATCAGGATCCATGCTGTTCGCTATCAGTTTCTCTACCTGCTATAGGGTTTGTAAGCGAACAGCATGGATCCTGATCAGACTGCGCGGATGCGCAGGCTGGTCTGGATCCATGCTGGTCGCAAACCCATTATGCTGGTTTTGTCGTGACGCGGCTCAAATTCAGATTTAAATTGATATTCATGACGGGAAATTGAGCATTACACACAGAGGTCAAAAGTCTAAAAACATAAAAGTTGAAATCAGTGCACTTAACATTGGACAATCTGCAAAAAATAATAAAGAAATAAACTCAGTTATGTTATGCACAATTTTTTATCTGGTGTAAGTGTAACGCTTTTCAGTTTTTCGTCATTTTGCGCAATGAAATAAATTATTATTCAGGACATGAGCTGAAATTTGCACACAAGTTATGGGTCTAGATTTTCATGTAATGGTACAGAATTCTCGAAAATTTATTTCCTGTTCCTTCATGTAAAAATAAACCTCGGCGGATTTCTTTTCAAGTGTGATGATAACCTTCATCCAATCATACCATGATAAGATTCAGACTCCGTGAAATTTGAAAATTTCCCTTAAAAGGAATTAATGGTTTTGGTTTTGGCGTTCTGCGAACGACGCCTTACTTAGTTGATCTTTCTTCTCATTCTTTTTGTCCAGATTTAAAAAGACGAGCAAGTCCATTTAAAACTTTCAGCGTAACAAGGGTTAATATATAATAATGCTTGCAAACTTGCTTCAATAAGCGTCAATGGATAGTTCAAGGCTTAATACTGTAACAGAATACTGTAACAGTATTCGGACGGACAGTCAACTTAACCGGAAAAAAGATTTCCCTTGGGCTACCACAATTAAGAATAATCGATTTAACAGACAATGATGTGACTTACTAATCACAAGATTCCAAGGTAATTATCTTCTATGGATGACCGATAATGAAGCGCACTCAAGCAGAAATCTTTTTGGTCCGAAAATTGATCTAAGTAATTACATGACCTAGAAATATATATAAATAATAGAATTGACATATAAATTTGCCAAATGTTTTATTTTGGTTCCATAGTAACTTGTTGCGATTTGCTTTTCTTTTTGTTTGTCCCTTCATTTAGGTATATAGTATGCATCTTTTCTTTTTCTTTGTTTTATATAATTATGATACAAACTTATCATTTCGTGGTTTAAATTGCGTATACTCTTTTGTTCATTGTATTTGTGAAATATTTTTTTTATTTTAGCTTCAAATTTTCTATAAAATATAATCATCTTAATATTTGATAATACCTCTGAGAATGCTTTATTATGAATTTAGATTGGTTATCTTATTGGGCATATATTTATAACATATCACGAGGTTTTCCATAAAAGCAGCACGCCTTCAGATTGTTGTTCTATTTATAATGAAAACGTCAAAAATGTTGGCAACAAAAGATTTTGCAGTGAACAAATTATATAAGTAATTTAACCCAGACTTAAGCACTTTCTTCACATAGAAAAAGCCCGTGACTTTCAAAAATATGCAGAATTTTCTTTTCTTTGAAGTTAGTAAAGATG